CTGAATTTATCATGGGCGTGGAGACAGCTAACCGTAGGCGGAACTGCACCAAGCCACACCCACTTAGTGGTAAGATACTCTGTTTTCATTAGCATCCTTCCTATGCACAGTTGAAGGAGCTGTGGTGGAGATCTAGTGCTGCAGCAATGCAGTCTCAGTATTACTGCTGTAACCATTCAACCAGGTATCAACAGTAGCAATGAACAATGAATTGGAAATGGTGAATCAGTGCGGCAAATGTGTTTCAGTGCCTGAGAAATGTGCCAACAGTGAGTATAAGGGTCATCATCTTCAAATTTTTAGAGCAAGCACATTGCACTGAGACACATTATTGATGCCGTCACAGGATGACATAATTCAGCTCTGCAGTGAAACATATGCTGCATTAGAAGTTCGGTAATATCAGAACAAACTTGAGATGGGACAGACTTATTAAATGCAAACAGATACAATAGAGATCTCAAAGACCTCTGCATGTATTACTGCGGCCCTGTTGAGAATGAACAATGAATCTTTAAAAGTTAATGACAAGTCCTGTTTCTCCTGCAGCTAACTGATGCCCCCTATTGGCTCCAATAGAATTCTGTAAAAAATTTCTCATTCATAAGTTACTGTATGTGCAACTGCAATATTTGTTCGGTAAGCTCATAAATGCTTAAACAGTTTATTGATTTGTAAGGCTAGGCCAATAAGGTAATAGACTAACATCCTTAAAAAAAACTGAAATTGAAGAATAAAATGTAATGATTAAAGGGGTCATATGATGCTGCTAAAAATAACATTATTTTGTGTATTTGGTGTAGTGAAATGTGTTTATGCGGTTTAAAGTAAAAAAAACACATTATTTTCCACATACTGTACATTATTGTTTCTCCTCTATGCCCCGCCTTTTTGAAACGCGTCGATTTTTACAAAGCTCATCGGTCTGAAAAAGCGAGGTCTGCTGTGATTGGCCAGCTATCCAGTGCGTTATGATTGGCCGAATACCTCAAGCGTGTGACGGAAATGTTACACCCTTACCATACTGTGATGATGCCCTGTCCGGCCGGAGTGACGAAACAAAAAACATGAAAACCCATTACAAAC